TACTTATTCTATAAATTTTATTCCTAAGTATTTTGTTCTTTTTGGTGGCAGAGGACTTCAGTTCCTTGCCATGTAAACATCTCCACAGGCTGCTTGAATATTCTCACAGCATGGCAGCCAGCTTCTCCCAAACAGAATGATCCAAGAGAGAGCAAACAAAAAACCAGACTCACTGACATCAAGTGGGCACAAACTCATAGAGACCCCCACTGGGTTTCCAAGACTGTAAATCTTTATAGAAATAGATTGTCCCATCTTCCTTCTACAGAGTGGTTGGTGGTTGTGAACTGCTGACCTTCTGTTAGCAGCCAAATGCCTTCTCCACTACACTACCAGAACTCCTTAAGAAAGAGCAAGGCAGATGCGATCCTCAACCTATATGACTATGAGACCAGAAGAACTAGATGGTGCCCAGCTACCACTGTCAACCACTTGGAGGGGGACCTATGTAGGAGATCCTTGATAGAGAGGAAGAATAATGTGGAACAAAACTAAAAATCATTGAAAGAGAAGGGTGGGGACCAGGCTTGCTGGTCTGATAGAGCCTGGTGGAACCCCTGAGACTGTGACCCCTAGCTGCCCATCAGGTCTGGAATTCAATCCACTCCTATGGCTTCCAGCTAAACAGAAGACAGGCATATGAGCTGAACATTTACATTAGGTAGATACACTCCTTGGAGAGATCAATCATGGGAGAATAGAAGGGCTGTGTATGCACAGGGAGACAGCTCAGGGGGCAGGAGTGCATGGAGGGGAGAACCAGGGAAGAGGTAACTATGGAGAAGTGGGAGGGGAGCTGTTGCATTGTGGGAAATTGCAGTCAATGTCATGAGACAAAGTATATGTGAACTGCTGTATGGAAAGTGAATTTGCTCTGTAAACTTTCACCCAAATCACAATAAAAATCAAAGAGAGAGAGAGTAAGAGCAAGGCAGAACTGTAACATCTTTTAGGACTTCATCTCAGAAGTCACGCTCCATCATTTCCATATCCTGTTGGCCACACAGATCAGCCTCATTCAGTGTGGAAGGTGCTGCACAGGGCAAGATTCCCAGGAGGCCATCTTGAAGATTGTTGAACACATGCATCCGATCCAGGTGGACCTGATTCTTTGCCTTGCTGATTCCTGTTCATCTTCCTGGTCTCTGCTTAAAGGTAGCGTCCTCTCAGAAGCTTTCCCTGCCTTCCCTTCCCTTGCCTTTTTTTTTTTTTTTTTAATCCATTACTCTTAGGTCAATTCCAACTCATAGTGACCCTATAGGACAGAATAGAACTGTCCTGTAGAGCTCCCAAGGCTGTAATCTTTACAGAAGCAAATTGTCCTAACTTTCTCCCACCAAGCCACTGGTAGGCTCCAGCTGCCAAACTTTCAGTTAGCAGCTGATCACTTAACCATTGCTCCTTCTTCCCCTGTTAGCCTCTGAAAGTCCCTGTATTCACCTCCCTTTATTGTATTTGGTACCATCCTAACCACCCTATTATTTGTATAACTATTTCTTTAATGCCTTCCACTAAACTAAAAACTTGATGAAATGAGGGACCTTAGTTGCCTTATTCACTGCTGTATGCCTTACACACCACTCAAGACCCACCATCCATTAGGTCCTTGACAAATGTTTGTGGACTAAGAAAATCAGAGCAATCAAATGGCCACACATTCAGGGGTGGAAGGACTGCTAGAATCTGGACCTAGTAACTCCTGGTTCAGGATTGGATCCTTGCCACAAGACCCACTCAATTTACCAGGCTAAAGACTCACCCTACCCCCAGCAAAGTATAACCCTCACTCCAAGTTTCCCCTTTCCTGTTTTCAAAAAAGTCTACTACACACAGGGTAATATCTTTTTTTTTTTTTTTCCCCCAAAGGCATATACCCCTTCTTTTACCTTTGGAACAAGACAGAGTATATTTGAAGGGACTTGCAAATTACACTTGAATCAGTGCCCGTGCAGCAGTTTGTAATCTCAGTGATATGCTACAGACACAGGCTGTACTAATGAAATGAACCATTTATATGAAGTATGCCTACTGTGTGCCAGGCATTGCACTAAACCCTTTAATTATATTTGATTCTCACAATCATCCACTGAGGTAAATCCCATTACGATCCCCATTTGACATATTATGAAAATAAGGTTCAGAGACATGACTTGATCTGTGAAAAATCACCCAGTTGATAAATGGCAATGCCAGAGTTTGAACCCTCATCTGACTCCAAAGATGCAATATTTAGGACTATTTCTTGTGGCCAGCTCTATTCTCCATGACAATGAATGAATGAGTAGACAAAATATTTAATGTTCCAAAGACTGATAATGTGGTGTTTTAGAATAAACAATTTATACATGTTTTTTGATGCTACTATGATCGGAAGGAAGATGGGGCAATCTACTTCTGTAGTGATACTGCCTCGGAAACCCAAGGAGGGTTCGCTGTGATTCAGATCTGACTCAATGGCAGTGTGTATGATCTAGGTGGGGAATATTTTTAAAATTAAAAAGAATGGCAATACCAGATGTTGGCATACATGGCTGGTGAGAGTACAAACTGATATATCCACTTTGAGAACAATTTAGCAGTTTTATATAAAGTTAAACATACACTTGCTATATGACCCAGCAATTCTACTTTTAAGCATTTGCCCAAGAGAAATTAAAACATGTTCACACAAAGACTTGTAAATGAATGTTCATAGCAGCATTACTCATGTAGTCAAAAACTGAAAACAACCCAAATGTCTCCCAACAAGTGAATGCATAAACAGAGTGACACATCTGTATTATGGAATAGTACTCAGCAGGGAACAAGAACAAATGACTGGAACATGTAGCAGAGTGAAGAATCTCCAAAGTAATATGTGAGTGAAAGACGAGAGATACAAAAGAGAGCATACAATATGATGGCATTTATGTGAAATTCTAGTTAACAAAGCAGATGCTGACAAGGTCCTTCCCATGTCCCCTTGGCTTTTATCAAGACCTGCGTCTTCCTGGAGGCTCTCTCTGGTGGCTGGAGCCCTCATTGCTCATGCATTAACAGCTCCTGGTAGTGGCCCTCAGCCACTGTCTGGCAGGAGTTGGTGCTTAAATGTCCCAGTTCCCTCATCTCTCAGGTAGGAGAACTCTCAGATAGATACAGTACACTTTCCCTCATAGTTCTCCAGAAGGATTGAGCTCTAGTCGTCCACAATTGTAACGTGCCCGGCACAGTGCCCCCACATAGTATTGCTGAATGAATGAATGCATAATGATGGTGGCTAGAACTGGCTTGCAGTTAGTGGAGTAGAGAGACCAAATACACTGTAAAACAGTTCAGGGTGACAGTCCCTCTCTTTTCCAGAGGCGGATGTGCTGTACCCTTCTCCAATGCTTCGCCTCCAGCCGCCCTCTTGCCCACTTTCCACCCCTCTCAACTTGGGAAGCGGTCTGAGCTGCCCAGAAACCGGCAGGAAACAGCCAGGGCGGTTCTTGCGGACGCGGAACTTTGCATGGCGTTTGAATAGCTTCAGGCCGGTGGAAGGGAAACCACAGACCACAGAGAGGCCTGGATGGGCCTGGGACACGGCGTGGAGGAGGGGCCGGGCTAGAGGGTTGGAGGATGGGGCCACCGAGAGATGGCTGGGACATGGGATCCCCAGGGAAAGAGTTCCAAGCCTAGGAGGGAGAGGTATGAGGTTCAAGTCCTGTGGACGAGGGGACACTAGGTTCGAATCTTGAGAATGGAGTAGAACTGAGCTCCTCTAGCGGGCGGGTGGGCAAGAGAGGAAGGTTAGAATACTGCTGGAGAGACGAGTGGGGTTAGAACACTTCGGGAACACTTCCCAGACCGAGTTAGAGTCTTTGAAAAGAGAGATTCGAATCCTTCTATAGGTGGAGTTAGGAGCCCTGGGGAACGGATTTTTGGGTGCGCGGGGTTAGAAGCCTGAGGCAAACCAAAAACCAAAGAAGCTCACTGCCAGAGTGGATCCCGACTCCTAGCGACCCCCTTTGGAGCACATTAAAATCCTTCTAGAACAAGGCTGGGAATCACTCAGAAGCTGGATTAAAATCCCTGGAGTTAGGATTTTAAATCTTTAGGGCGGGGTTAGAATCATTTGAAGAGAAACCAAAAACAACCAAACTCACTGTCCTCCGGTCGGATCCACTCATAGCGACCCCTCCTTGGGTTTCCCAGGCCGTATCACTATAGAAGTAGATTGCCCAGTCTTTCTTCCCAGGAGTGGCTGGTAGGTTTAACCAAGGACCTTTTGGTTAGTAGTCAAAGGCCTTAGGCACTACACCACCAGAGCTCCCCATTTAAAGAGAGGAGTTAAAATTCTTGGAGGCAGGGATTAGGAAGGTTTGACAGGTGAGGTTAAAAATTCTTCAAAAGTGAAATTAAAATTCCTCTGCTGTCTGAGTTAGGATTTTAGGAGGAGGGGACCGGCTTAGGGTTCTCTGGAGCGCGCGTTAGAAGCCCCAGGGGCAGGGTTTAGAATACTTCGGAGTCTGGGTTAGGCTCATTCGCAGGAGGGATTAGAATACATTAGAGGCGCTGTTAGGATATTGGGAGGAGGAGATGGGGTTAGGTTATTTGGGGGACGGGTTAAAATCCTTGGGGGTGGGGTGAGGAACCTTGAGGCCAGTGTTAGGAGAACCTCCAGTGGGCGGAATTAAAAATCTTGGCTCCTGGGAAGAGTGAAGAGAGGTTAGGATCCCCAGGGAGCCGGATAGAATTCTTGGGGAGGGGTTAGACTCCTTTGGGGCGGGGTTAACGTCACTGGGGCGGGGCTAATGTACCCACTTGGCCTGTGGGCGCCACAGCGTCCTGGGTTCCAGCCCCTGTGCCCCACCCAGGCTCAGAGGCGAGTGGGAGGGGACCGAGCCGGTTCAGCACTAGAAGAGTCGGAGAAGGCCCGGAACCGAACTCCCTCCAAGCGGCACCCCAGCATCTTCTTGAAAGTCACTCCATTTTCCTCCAGGCTTGGGTGTCCCGGGATCCGGGGGGCTGTTGAGCTGGGGGGGCGCTCCAGTTGCGAGGATCCGGGCTGCCCGCGAGAGCAGGAGCGGGCGCCTAGGTGAGTGCTGCGAACCGTGGAGGGAGGGATGGCACCGGGCCTGTGAGCTCGGCCCTGGAAGTCTTCGGGCAATGGAGGGAGCCAGGGGCTTGGGCAGTATTGGCTGTAGGTGCAGCCAGGAGCAGGGACACAAGTAGAGAGCGTCGAGGGAGCCTCCTAAAGGCGGTGAGATGGAGGACCGACGGGGATGGGTGGGTGCCCAGGTGAGGCAGGACCTGTCAGCAGCCAGCTGGGAGCCTGTAGCCCCAGGCGAGGGCAAGCTCAGGCCGCTAGCCACTTCTCTTGCCGTCAGGGTTCCCCTTCTGCAAAAAAAAAAAAAAAAACGAGAGAAGGAAGGGAGGGATGGGGTTCCCACGAGCAGCTGGGCGGGGAGGGCCTTTAGGGTTCCTAGTGGGGGTGGGGGTAGGTAATGAGTCCCAGTGGGCTGGCAGTAGTCGAGGTCCCCTGCCCCAGACCTGTGAGGAAACGGGCACCTGGGTGGAGGCATGACCTAAGAGCCACACCCAGGCTGGGTACCAGCTGGGCCAACTTGTGGCTCTCCCTTTCCTACCCCACACGGCCAGGTTCCCCAACACGTTTGAATCAAACCCCAGAACCTTCTGGGCAGATCACAACATATTACCGGTCACTTTACTCTTGTGAGACCTTGGGCAAGTCACTTCATTTCTCTGAATTCCAGTTTCCTCATCTGTAAAGTGGGGCTATCAGTGCCTTCCTGGAAGGGTTGCAGTGAGCTAGAGTTTGCGAGAGGCAATGTACCTGAGGTTGTTGTCTCTGAAAAAGTGACTGCTTAGTATAGGAGTTAAGGAGAGGGCCTGGGGGGCAAACTGCATGTTGGACCTCCAGCAGGAAATTTGGCCTTTCTGTGGTGGGTTACTTGGGGAACATTGGAGGGTTCTTTGGAGACTTGAATTGAGTTACTATGGGGAAAGCTCTTAGAGACTATCTGAAGGTATCTAACAGGCTTAATTTGACCCCTGTCATAGCTGTGGGGTCCCTGGTGGTACAAATGGTTCATGGGCCCAGCTGCTAACTGAAAGGTTGGGGGTTCAAATCCACCCAGGAGGGCCTCAGGAGGAAGTCCTGACGATCTACAAGGGAAAAATAATCGGCCATTGAAAATTCTCTGCAGCGTAGTTCTACTCTGACACACATGGGGTTGCTGCAGTTGGAATCGATTTGACAGCAACTAGTGTTTAGATTCAAACCCACCAGCCACTCTGTGGAAGGAAGATAGGGCAATCCACTTCCACACAGATTTACCACTTGGGAAACCCAATGGAGGTCACTATGAGTCGGAATCCACTTGATGGCAGTGGGTTTGGCTTTTTTTGTTGTTGTTTAGTGGTTGGATTGTCATAGCTATTAAGGTCTAACCCAAACACCCCCCAAAAAAAAAATCCACTACCATTGAGTCAATTCCAACTCATTGTGACCCCCACTGGGTTTCCAAGGGGATAAATCTTTATAAAAGGAGATTGTCCAGTCTTCCTTCCACTAGGAAGCTCTGGTGGCCTAAGGTGACTGCTAACCAGAAGGCTGGTGGGGCTGGTGGTTCAAACCCACCAGCCTCTCCTTGACAGGAACATTGGGCAATCTACTTCTGTAGAGATCCGCCTCAGAAACCCAAGGAGGGGTGGCTATGTGTTAGATTTGACTCAGCAGCAGTGAGTTTGGTTTTTGGTTTTCCTTCCACAGAATGGCTGGTGGCTTTGAACCACAAATCTCCTGATTAGCAGTCAGATGGCTTAGACACTGTGCTACCAGAGCTCCTTAAGGTCTAACTCAGTGGTTCTCAAGCTTTAGATACATCAACATCACCTGGAGGCCTTGTTAAAACACAGATTGCTGGATCCCACTCCCAGAGTTTGTGATTTAATGATGTGGGGCAGGCCAGCAGAGAATTTGCATTCCCAGGTGCTGCTGGTTGGGGGACCACACTTTAAGAACTACTGGTCTAACATATGGCTGGCACAGAGAGAACTCTCAATAAGTATCAGTTCCCCCATTCCACAGCTTTCTTGTCACTATTCCTTTTTAAGGAGTGAGGGGTAGAGATCTTTAAAATGCAGAAAAGTGAAGAAACTGATAGGTTAAATATCCCAGGAAACCGCCGCCTAGAATTATTGAATGTTAACATTTTGTCATGCTTGTTTCAGAGTTGTTGCTGTTGTTGTTGTTTTTAATAAAATCACTAAAAACAACAACAATAACTGTACTGCCATAGCCTCGATCCAACTGGCATAGTGCCTAAGGCATTTGACTGCTAACTAGAAGCCTGGCGGTTCAAACCCACCAGCCACTCCTTATAAGGAAGAACTGGGCAATCTACTTCCATAGAGATAATGCCTCGGAAACCCAAGGGGGGGTCGCTATGAGTTGGGTCTGACTCGACAGCGTACAACAACAACACAACGTAAGGTTTCCAAGGCTGTAAATCTTTACGGAAGCCTCACCTTTCTCCTGTGGTGAAATTGGTGAGTTCGAACCACCAAACTTTTAGTTAGCAGCTGAATGCTTTAACAATTATGCCACCAGAGCTCCTTAAAATCACTAAAAGTAGCATAAAATTGAATCACTCTATATCCTTCCAAGTCTTGGTTCTCTCCCTTGCAAGTCAACCACTGTCACAAATAACAGTGCTTCCAACCCCTGTTTTTATAAATTTACTGCATATATATGTAATGACGGCACATAACAACAACAACAACATATGTAATGTATCCATAAACAATACACATTTTCTTTTCTTTCTTCATATCTACGTAAGTTATCTAATTGTAAGATTCTTCTGCAATTTCTCCACCCCCACCCACTTCCCTTCTTGTCACTAAGTTGTCAGGGTCTATCCATCATAAGAAACTAAAGTCTCCTTCATTCCTTTTAAACGCAAAGGAGTGTCCTAGAGAGTGACCACCCACATTGTTTCTCATTTTCCTGTTGATGGACCTTCAGGTTGTTCCCAGGTGTTCACTGCACCAAACAATGCTGCGTGGACCATTCTGGGCCTGTGGCCTTGGGCACATGTGTTCTTGAGAGCAATGCCAATGATGGCTTCCCAGAGGGGGCGCCTGGCTCCCTCCCCTTTTTGGGGAGAGGAAAACTAGGCCTGGAAGGGTGAATCAGGGAGTCAGTAACAGAAACAAGAGAAGAATTGGGCTCTGCTCACCTCCCAGGTCTCATTGTTCTCCGCTGCACAAGGCCAAGGATCTTCATCCACTTTGTTCTCTGTGCCTGGCACCTAGTGTTGTTGTTGTTGTTGTTATGTGCCGTCGAGTCGGCCCCGACTCATAGTGACCCCTCCTTGGGTTTCCGAGGCAGTATCACTACGGAAGTAGG